CCTACTTTAAGTTGTATTATTATAGAATTAATGTTGCATAAGAACGTGCTGCCTATTTGTATTTTTTTTTTTTTCCAAATTAATGTTCCATTGGCTTTGAGGTTTATACATGAGACAAAAAGAAAAATACATGATACATTAAGAATGTTCCCTGAGATTATTTGCAATGACGTTCTATGGTTGTTTCTTTCCTCCTCCTCGTATTATATGCTATCTTTTGGATTGTTTATTTGAATTGAGGCTTGAGGGGCTGAAGATCAATTTTCGTTGCAGTAACAAGCAATTGCTTCAAAAGAATTTAATGTTTCAATTTTAACTGTTTTGAAGAGTGTCTCTACTGTAAATAAGAAAACTTGGAGAGAGTGAATAGAATTTTCACAAGTTACATTGTGTTGTGAAGATATCTTGCGAAGAATACTTATCCGCATTAGGGATTTACGTACACTTAAATAATTAATTTTAAGGGTCACCAAATTAAAGTGAAAATGCATATCAGTTAATAATCCTAACTAAATGTTAAGAAGTGTATAAATAAAGTATATCTTATATTCATTGATTTGATTTGATGTAAACAAATAATAATTTTTACTGATATATCTTGGCTCTAACTCTTTCTCTAGGTTCTATACTTCTATTTATTGTGAATGTTCTGTCTTGATATATATACTAGCTCGTACTGCAGTGCAGATGGCCTTATCTTGGTTGGTCACCTTAAGTGGCCTCTACAGCTGTTATTGCTTGTTATCCTCCTTTGGACGTAATTTTTGTTCAGCTACTGATTCTTCTTGGTTGTGATATGTTGACAATTCACATTAACTAAACTATTTGCGACATGGAGATGATGATTGACGAGGTCAATGTGTATAGGATTTTCCTGCTCGTGCTTTGTCAAATTCTAGTATAGTTTATGATATCGTCCCACAGAGATAGGAACATCTATGCTACAGACCCTTAATATTTCAACTACTATTTGAGAGAATCAAATTGATGAAAAGTTTGTGGAATTAAAACTTGTTAAATACTTAACAAGATCAAACAACTTCGAAAGATTTGTAATTTAAAAAAAAGAGTTGGGAATCGTTGAATTCACTTGATAATATATTATAATAAAATCTCACTTTATACAAGTATTTCTCTAAAGGATAATTGCTTATTGCTAATACAATTATATCTTATCTCACCAAGAATTAATCAACTAATAACACTCCGTGAGGTTATGTAATTAATTGAGTTAAAACTGGTGACAGTTAAACCGAAATATTTTTCTTGCTTGAATTGTGCTAAGAGGTAGTAAAAACTTCGTGAGAATATTTTTACTAAAAAAAATCAATAATCTTGCCTATAACAATTACTCCGTGAGAATTAAAACTGAGTCAAGCAAAATTACTGACTTTTAATAATAGCATGCTAATAATTGCTCTCACTTTACTATTTTATTCAATAGTTACTATATATTAATTTTGCTCCGTGAGAATTACAAAATTAATATGATAGTAACTTAACGATAAAATATATAGAAGTGATAACAATGATTAGGTAAAAACTATTATTATAGCACAACATAAAATATAAATAGAAAGTTTCAAGACAAGGATGTATTAAACTGAGATAGTATTATAATATATATATCAAGCTTCATCAACTATCCCAACAAAAGAAGTTTACTCCATTACGAAGTAAGAAAAACTAATTTAGGAATAAAGAACTTATGAAGAAATATTATTCTTCTAAAACAAAGACAACAAGTAGTAAATACTAAAGACAAAGAGAGACCAAGAATAGTTCTTCTCTGCTCAAGACTCGATATCTTCTTTCCAACATGCACTCTCTATTTATAGAGTTTTTTTGGCCTAAGATTTTCCTTAGTTGCAACTATGAAATTGTAGTTGCAACTATGGCCTTATCAATTTCTTCCTTTTGCAGAGAAGGGCTATAGTCTCAACTATAGTTTTATAGTTTCAACTATAGTTCTCTAGTTGCAACTATGTGATTTCCATTCCCAATTGTTATCGTCACAACTATTGTTCTTTAGTCCATTTGCTTCTTCATTCCCAGTTGACTACTCAATTCCCACTTTTTTTTGCTTCTTTTCTTTGATTTTCATATGCTCTTTCTCCTGCAAAGTATGTTAGAAAATATGGAAGAATATGATATATATATTCATGTTTTATTTAAAATATTTAATATTTACATATAAAAAATATATGAATAAATTATATTCATCAATGATTGTATTATTACTAGGTATGTTTAGCGTAGTCCGGTGCACAAAGCATCTTTGCGTTTATGCAGGTCCGGAAAAGGACCGTTCCCAAGGGGTGTGATGTACGTAGACAGCCTACTCTAATGCAAGCATTAGTGATTGCTTCACGGCTCGAACCCGTGACCTATAAATCACACGGAGCTAATTTTGTTGTCACTAGGCAATGTCTCTGTAAGAAATTTTCTATAGCAATAGCTTAGGGCTGTAATTGTGTCCTTTTTGCTATGAAAATCTATCTTTCATCGTTCAATAAAGAATTCAAATACACCATCAAAAGCTCTTCCTCTTATATTTTCCTGTCCAAGTCCAACCACACAAAAGAAAAGTGACATGTATAAAAAGGTTAGATTATATCTGCAAGTTAGTGAAATTGAAATGTGCATCTGTGCCTAGTAATATAGGATAAAAGCTGGATTTTACGTTGATACAAGAAATCTAGTAGTCACATGATTTCAGATTCACAGTACAAAACTAGAATATTAAAATGAGAAAAATAATCAAAAGTGGGATATAGGGAATCAACCTAGCTAAGTGTGTGAGTTGGAGTTGGATCACGTTGAAAACTTATTCAAGTGATCCAAGAAAATTTGTACTTCCCAACGTACACTATACTACAAAAATTGAGACAATAAACAAATAAATAAAAGGAATTATAAATGTAAACATGTAATGCTCTGGGGTAACAACAAATTTGGTAGCTCTGATCACAAGAAGTCCCAATTCCCCTGCAAACTAGTAAAACCCACCCGCTATCGTATTCTTTATAATATTGCTGTCGCTAAATTAATATCTATCGAAATAATTCTATCTTCACAAAATAGAGGTGAGGTCCCAAACTTATCTTATAAAATTATATTAAGTTTATTATTATTGTTGGTGGTGGTGGTGATAGCGGTAGATACGAAAAATTCAATAGTTTTAACTCAAATAATATAATAAATTCACTTAATGTATATAATCACAAATGAATTAAGCGAAAAAAAAAAATTTTGATTCAAAATTTATAAATTACCCCTTCCCCACAAATCAACATACTATTTCATTAAATTATTGTCTAAAATATTTGACTCTCCAAACCGCCGACTCATGTCTCCTTCCTGGAAACACCAATTCGTAGCTACTCTCCAAATTTGCAAGCCACGTCATTAATTAAAAAAATAGAAAAAAGAATTGTTGTGGGGCTCAAGGTAGGGTCCATACAAAAAAGAGGACACGTGGAAACATGATTATTGGATACAACCTTAGTAGAGAGATTAATGTAAGGGAAGAAAGAGGAGGGTTGCACATGGGGGTGGTGTTTGGTTCGAGAAATTCATGTGATCACATGTGCTTTTCCTACTGTGGACCCCCCTCACACCTGCGTCTCTATCCTGTTTTCCCTCTAGCCTCCCGCACCCGATCCAGTTGCCTCTTTCCGTTCCTACTTCTCCAGTTTCACGGCCGTGACCTTCACTTGCTAGGATGAACGTGTTAGATTTATGTAACATCTGATTTCTTTCCTTTTCTTCGTATAAAATCAACTCAACAATTTGAATCATTTCCAAAAAAAAAAAAAAAAAAAAGTTACCCCGAACTCTTAGAGCTTGATATTTTCAAAAGAATAAAAAAAGGTGAAACATCTCACTGCTATTTGATTTAGTATTTCTATCTACATGATATTGGTGATACTCAACATTAACTAATACAAGTTTAATTTAATAGTCAAACAGATGTTTTATTCTTTATTTTAAAGTTAAAAGACTTGACTACTCTGATACAAAAATGTTAAGTATTCAATATTGATATGTGTTTTTTTGTACTCACTCAATCACTTCTTTAACACTCTTTTATTTTTTTTCCGTTCAAGAACGACTAATATTGGTTAACTTTTATATTGTCATTTACCACAGTCCACTAAGCTTCACTTTGATACAAACAAGTTTGTTTAATATTGATATTTTATACACATTTAACTAATGTGTTAAATATCTTTATTTATTTCAAGACAAATTGAGCCCAAGCGTACTTAATCTTAGTTTACTTTACAATAATTACTTTCTCCGTTTAAGTAATATTTTCACTTTTATTTTTAGTCCTTTTTAAAAAAATGCATCATTCGATATATTTAGTAGCTCTTTTCCACATAGCAATTTAATGCCATAAAATGAAAAACTTTTTGATACATTATACATATTTCTAATTTAATTTAAAACTACGTATTTGTTATAAATAGAATTCTATTTATGGTGAATGTCCATATTTAGAGAGATTCTAGGGTTTATTACTTGGTGGCTAAGTCAACCTCTCCCTATAAATAGAGGGTTCTATTCCATTTTAATTCATCCCAAAAATTCAATAAGAATTCTTTCTCTCTCTTTCTCTGCAATATTGTTCTTCTACTTTTATTGTTTTATAACAGTATTTAATCAAACTAAGACATATATATATATATGTATGTATATATATACGAAGAGAAAGGGAAGGAGTACATGAAATACATTGTTAGGGAAATCGACGGCTATATTTGTAGCTATTTACCTTAACGTATGGTGACATTAGCATAGGCGCGTGAAACTTCTCGCCGTGACAAATTAATATCCATCAGGGGCTTCAAAAAACCAAAAGCCCAATAAAATAAGGTAGGCCCAGCTTCGTTGGCAATTAACATTTCTAGAACTCATAACAATAATTTAACAGTCACCACCTCCACCTTACCCCTATAAGCATCCCTCTTCTTCTCCTTCTCTTCTCCTCTCTTCACAATTCCCTCACCCCCCCCCCCCCCAAACACCTAAAAAACCAAACCCAAAAAAGGGAACAATCCCAAATTTCTTTATCCATGGAGAGTAGTTGTAACAGTGAAGAAACAAGAACAACATTAGCCACATTATCAAGAAAAGATCAGAAAAAGACTCAAAAAAACTCCAAGAGGCAAAAGAGAAGGAGAAATAATGTGAAGAAGGTGTTAAAAGAAAGTAGTAGTAATTGCAATACTGATAATGCAGGGAATAATCAAGAAGAAGATGATGACAAGGCTGAGGTGGAGGAGAAAATCTTGGCATTACAAAAAATAGTACCAGGAGGAGAATCACTTGGTGTTGATATGCTCTTTGAAGAAACTGCTGGTTATATTTTGGCATTGCAATGTCAAATCAAAACACTCAAAGTTCTTGCTACCTTTGTTGAAGGTTCTGACAAGGAAAGGATGAAGCTTGGAGGTTGATGTTCAACTTCTTTTCTCTTTTCTTTTTTCTTTCTTTTCATGCTTGGTAAAAAAAGATATTTTGCGTTCATGTAAGGTCCAAGAAAAAATTAACTCCAAAGGGTGTGACGTAGACAGTCTACCCTAATTCAAACATTAGTGACGTCATGCTTGGTATTGGTACATCTTGGTTGTCCATCAAAGACCAAGTTAGCTTCTTTTTTTATTTTTGTTTATTGTTTTGCCTAGTGAGCTAGCTAAGGACAAGGGTTGGTGAAAATTAAACTTGCACCTTTACTCAATTGTTTGGTTCTTTGTTCTTTTATTTGGATCTTAGGGATTTCAGATAGGGATTAATTAATTTAATTTTAATTTTACTTCTTCATAATATTTGTTCATGCCTAAGTGTTACACTTTGGATGGATATCTAATAGGAATATGTATGAATTGGCTTGATTCTTGGAGACAATTTTTTTAAAGTGAGTATTGATAAATGCAGATACATAGGAATGTTCTTGGATCATGTAGTATAGAAATGTGATGATAGGAATTTGGTTTTGAGTACATGATTTGGAGGTATCTCCAGTTCTCTTTACCAAGAAAATGAACCTCGTTGTCTTTCTCTCTCTCTTTCTCTCTGTTTTAGTTAAAAAAAAAAAAAAATGGAAAACATAAGTTGTGAGTTGTGGAAAGTGATTTTAAGGGTAACTTTTTCTAAACCAAGCAAAATTTTCGACAAATGAGGAAAGGAAACAAGACCTATGGCTACATTTTAGTCGCAATTCTGCGAACACAGCATCTAGCCAGCAGATAAAGATTAAGGTAAGTGTGCCATTTTAGATCCAAAAATTGGCAGGTGTCCTTTAATCTTTGAAATTTATGTGGCGTTCTAATTATAAATTATAAAAAACGTTAAAGAAATTAGTTTTTGGATAAAATATAGGGTTAAATCTATGAATCATGTGATGCAGCAGCAGTCAATTTACCAAAATATACAGGTGATTTATACGAGGCTATGACATGTTTAGCCAAGCTTTTTCTTTTTGCCATAAGTTTTTTTTTTTGGTTGCTAAAAATGCTTTTTTCCAAAGTTAAAGCGTTTGGTCAAATTTTTAGAAGAAGGAAAAGTAAATTTAAGTAAAAGCGGAACCAGTTTTTTGGAAGCATAACAAAGTAATTTCTTATCAATAACACTTTTTAAAAAAATACTTTTGAAAAAAATATCTTAGAAATACTTTTTAAACGCTCAACAATACTTCAATTATTTAGTCAAACATAAATTATTTTTGAACAGTACTTTTTAAAAATAAACTGATTTAGAAACTTGAGCAAACAGATTATGAATTAATACATACCATGTAATTGAAGATTTTTCTTAAAAAAAAAAAAAGAAGTAATGATAAACCGCTGTAAATGATGCCACCACGTGTAATACAGCAAAGAATGTGCCCTTATTCTATTGCAGAGTTCTGAACATGAATTGTTCACGTGGGAAACTGGGCTCTGTGATCCATTTCAGTAGTGGGGTTTTCTTTGAGGCCCATATAGTTATGTTTTCTTACTACGTGTTAGACAATTATTTGAAACTTCAGCGGAGTAGATATTGTACTACTACTTATCTTTACTTCGTAATATCTTAATGGCTAGCACAAGTTAAATTCGTTTTTCCTTAATCAAAGTGCCAATGAAAGGAAGACCAGAGTTACTGGTCCTATTCATTTCGAAAGAAGATAAAGAATCGTATTGTTATAGCGTAGCATCAATCGCATATCCATTAATTACAATATGAATTTGATTTTCTTTAATATAAAGAGAATTTTCAATCCGAGAAGCATGTAAATATATTAAATGGAGTTGCCTAAAATTCAGAGGTTTTACATAAACTGATTGTAGGTGCCACTTAAAAGACTTTGTCAATGATCTACTATATTTTTGAAACTCCTCTTTCTCAGGAAGCATCTTTGTGTTTGGTTCTGACTTCTGAGGAGCAATGGACAAACAGTATAAATAGTAGTTAGTCACATGGATTTCAAACAGTATAAATAGTAGTACTCGCATGGATTTCAATACTTTCTACTACCCTAATTTACGGAGCTTGACCGTTTCAATGAAGTTTGAGACTAGAAGTTTAGGCCCAAAGCAAACATAAGACACATCAAGTTCCAAAAGTAAAAATGGCATGGGATGCCCTATTTGGTCGCCCTTTTTTAATCTGTAGCCGTTTTATTTTTTTGTTTGCATTCGTACCCCTTTTTTTGTTAAAAGCCTTTTTAAAAAGATTATTTTGCCCTTCTTTATTAAAAGACTACTTTATCTCCAAGTATACGTTAGTCCTCTACTGTCTCTGTCTCTCTCTCCCGTTATTCGCGTTTTTTGATTTGTTCTTCTCTGAAATCAAACGGTATTCGTCGTTGTTTTTAATTTTTCAACTGTTTGTTCCCAAATAACATTACGTATAATCACAGGTACATTGCATTAACTTTCTAGGTTTTATTTTAGTATTAATTTTTACGATTTAATTTCTGATTTTGGTTTTGATAGTCATGTTTTTTTTGGTGCAAAATTAGATGAAAATTGATAGTCATGTATTTATGATAATATAGTTTCCTATGGTTTACTTTGATAAGTGCATTAGTTTTACTTTTACGATTGTGTTTTTAGGTTTTTTGAACGTGTGTTTGTGTTTTTGATGAAAATTCTATAAATCCTTCAGTGATTTTTGGAGACGTCGAAATTTTTAAAAATTTTGAGAGTTAAATAGATGATACTATTAGTGTGTGAAGTTTATAATACTTCAATGATACCTTCGTTTTAGGAGCTGAAGTTTTGTTTCGTGTTTTGTGTTTTTTGTTATATTTTTTATGAACTTCAGCATTATTTTGGAGTTGAATTTGTGTTTTATTTTTTGTAAAAACTACATCATATTTTTTCTGAATGTTTTGTTTTGTAACTGGTGAACTTCAGCTCTAGGAGCTGAAGTTTTTGTTTTGTAACTGGCGAACTTCAGCCTTCTTAGAGCTGAAGTTTTAACTGATTTTTTTTAGATAATGTTCTGATGTTATTTTTTTTGTATCTTTTACTTTTTTTTGAACATATGGCATCTAGAAAATCCAAATCACCTACAAATCCTAAAGCACCTAAAGATCCTAAAGCAGCTGAAGCACGTAAAGCAGCTAATGCACCTAAAGATCCTAAAGCACCTAAAGCACCTAAACAACGTATAATACCCACAAGTCCTTTAGTCCCTGCTGTTCCACCTACAAAACCAGGGGATAGATATTATGAGTTTCGAGATTGGTTTAACTGTCGTGGTTACTGGAAGGGGAACCACGATTTGAAGAGTTTAATTGCAAGTTTCTTGACTCCTGCACAACGGGATAAGCTTAATAATGGTACATTTCGATATATTATGGGTATGGAGAATTTCAAATGCAGCATGAAGTTGGTTCATAGTTTGTGTCTTTCTCGAATATTCACTAATGATCGAGACTCCATTTGTTTCAAGATTTTTGGCCATGATGTTTCCTTCACCCTTGAAGACTTTCACATTATGTGCGGTTTGCGGATCACAGCACATAATGTTGAAAAACTAATTAATCGAGAGAGCAATATTCGGAAGCGCTATTTTGGGAAGTCTAAGGGTGTGACCTTGAAGGATATTTGAGATTTTATGACTCGGATGAAATTCCAAAGAATGCTGGGAATTTCTGACACGTATGCGAGAGTGATGAAGATGTTGTGAAGCTTATGGAAATTCTTATTGTGGAGTCTATTTTATTTGGAAAAAAGACTGAATCATCTGTGCTGGAGGATTATGCAGCTATTGTTGAAGATGATAAGGCTTGTGCTGAATATCCTTGGGGTAATGTGTGTTATGAGAAGCTCATTTACTCACTGAAACATGCATTGGACAAGCAGAACAAATTTCATTCAACTGAGTATAAAGTTGGTGGATTTCCATTTCCTTTATGTGCTTGGTTCTATGAGCGCTTCCCAGATATTCGGGAGAAGTATTTAAGAGAGGATGAGTACCTTGATACCCCTCAAGTTCCCAAGATGTTACATTATGTATATGTGGGAGAGCCTAAATATAACAAACTTTTTGATTACTTTAGTAATCATGCTGTAAGATAATTTTTTTTATTTTTGTCTATGTGTTAATATGTTGACGTATTAGTTTTTTTTTCATAATTGTCACGACCCCGATTTCCCACCCTCGGGAGTCATGATGGCGCCTACTAATGTGAGCTAGGCAAGCCAATTATGTGAACAACTTACCTTTTTACCCGTCTTATATTCATTAACAATTGCGAAGTAATATCATTTAAACAGCGGAATTTAACATAAGCGGAAGAAAAAGCAATAAGCTAGCTGAACATGAATCCAATACAACTGTTTGAGTCTCGACTACCCAGAAGTGGTGTCACAGTTTCACAGACGGTCTAAGAATACTACAAATAAAGGGGCTGAAAGAAATAAATACAGCACTATCTCTAGAAATGTATGAAAGAAACAGGAATAGTAGATAGAAAGAGACGCCAAGGCCTGCGGACGCCTGCAGGACTGCCTCGGGTCGCCTGATGAGCAAGAATCAACAATCCCACTGCGGTCCGAATTCTACAACACTGGGGTTTGCACAAAAGAGTGTAGAGTGTAATATCAGCACAACCGACCCCATGTGCTGGTAAGTGCCTAGCCTAACCTCGGCGAAGTAGTGACGAGGCTAGGACCAGACTACCAAATAAACCTGTGCAATTTAACTATATACAGCAGAAAAGAAGTACAGAAAGAAACATTCATATAGAGTCAAGTATGGGAGAGGGAAAAACATGTTGCGGGGAAACATCGAATAGTAACAGAAGAGCAACAAGTAAATATGAGGATCACCACAGTTCAATCGAAAATGGAAGGGGAAATCATGCTGCGGGGTACAACAAGTATCAACAGGAAACTAGCAATTTAGTGTAGAGAAACCGTAACACAGTTATCAATAAAAAATTAGGAAATCAAAGACAAGTGCACGGCATCACCCTTCGTGCTTTTACTCTCTCTCACCAAAACAATACAAGGCATCACCCTTCGTGTTTTACGCTCTTCCTCACCCAAACAATACAGGGCATCACCCTTCGTGCTTTACGCTCTTCCTCACCCAAACAACAATCACAAGGAAAATATGGTAAGGAAATCTATAACCTCGAAATAAAACCAAATAACAATAGAAAATCAGTAAATAAACGTAAAGGACAACATAACTCAATTATCAGCAAGAATCAGGGAAATCAATGACAAGTGCATGGCACCACCCTTCGTGCTTTTACTCTCGCCTCACCATAAGAATTAATACAATAGGCACGGAATGGTACATCGTGCGGCACGGCATCACCCTTCGTGCTTTACACTCTTTCCTCACCATGAAATCAATAATAGGCACGGAATGGTACATCGTGCGGCACGAC